GTACATGGAAAGACCCAATGTCACAATGTCATCAGTTGAAACCAGTATAGCTCCAACTATCTGAAAATTTGAAAAAAAAATCTTTAAAATGGGAAATTTTTTAAACCTTGCATTGCCTATTGCTTCCCAGGCTGAGTACATATATTGGTTGGAAATATATGACCTGAAATTGTCATTATTTAGATAGATGAAATGAACCTATGGAAACTTTCTTGAACGTGAATATATGATTCCTTCAGTCTTCTCTAATTTTCAAACCTCTAACTAGAGCTGAATCCAACGGAAAAAAATTAGAGAAGCACAAACACTAGCAGGAGAAATGTGTACATCAAAGAATTGCAAGATCTTAGCAAGGAGTGTGGGAAGAGATTCTCCACGTGTTGGACCAGGGAGAACAGAAAGTAAGATCAACAACCCAAAAGTCGTCCATAAAGTTGCACCCCTGTGGATGTAGGAGTAAGCTTGCTGCCATGAGCACTTGGGAGTGGAATGATGGTTGTTATGTGTTATATGAACCATGGACTCACCTGGAATTTACACTAAAAGCACTCTGAAATCTCATGGAAAAGTGAGTTTTAGAGCACACCTACCATTTGCAACTTTTCCTGCATCTCTGCTCACAGTTCTTGAGTTGGCCCAGATGACAAGCATGACATACTTTATTTAGCGCAGAACTTTGAAAATCCTTCTGGACAATGTTCTCTCAGCCTCTCTGTCAAATCCTAAAAACATATTTTTTATGAAAAGAGAATCATACAGAATAAGGAGAAAGTCTCTTCTCATTGAAAATCAGTGGTTGGGAAAACAGAAGTCTCTTCTTAAATAGGCCAGTGAGAACAGACTCAGTAGGACAAACTTGAGAGCCATTTCCTCAGGGTAGTTTAGTTTAGAGACATTTAGTTTAGTCCAGGGTTAGGAATAAATTAGTTAATTGTTACTTCTAAAACTGATCTTTGTTTCTAATGTTACTTAATAAAATTTTGAAAGAATGTGATAAAACAAAATAATTAAAATAAAATACATATGTGTTTTACACACACAATATTCTTTCTTTTT